GATGTTAACAACATTCCGCCAGGAGGCTGTCGCATTCCTAAAGCGCTCCAGATGTCTGGGCTTTTTTGCTTGCATTCCTTTAGATATTCAATACGTGCTATTTGAATAGGGGACGATAGAAATGTTAAGGATTTTGTGGCATACTGACATTTAAATTTTGATTCAAAATTAACATTTTATCATCTGTACCTGTCAACTTTTTGTATAGGTCCAGTCACGTGAAAAGAATTCTGAGCGAGAATTGAGGGAATGCGACATCGCATGGGTTCAGGCGCGTTCTGAAGTATTAGGCTATTGTTTTATAATATACTAGCGGCTCACCCTCGCTTCACACGGGTTCTCCTCTAAAAAATAAAAACAAATTTATCCCACGGGAACCGTACATTTTTCCGGGATAAAAAGAAGCCTATGTGTTATTCTGATGTATGAGCTATATTATTGTAAAGTTTCATTAAAATCCATTCAGTACTTTTTGCGTGAAAGAGTAACAAACATCCATACATCCCTACATTCTCAAAAACTTTCGCATTTATAATATTAGTAGGACTACATTATGTATTAACTAAGACACATGCAATGAAAAATATTGTAACTCAATTTTTAAATAATTATAAATAGAAATCAATTTCTCAGACGACTATAAAACATAATCTCAAAACTATTATAATATTGAGGTACAATGTATCAGTTCTCAATTTTCTATTGTCAATTATTTTTTTACGCTGTCATTTACAGATGTACAAATCCTTTCACCGAAGGTCGTAACCGTAAATCATGCATACTATTGGGTATCTTTTGGATTTACTTATACTCCGTAGTTTTCTTCTGCGTGCACAATAAAATATTTATTTATCTATCCAAATATTTAATCATAGATTAGTTTTAATATGCCATGTTATATATATATATATATATATATATATATATATATATATATATATATATATACGGCGACACTCTCTTTCCTTACTCAGACCTAACTACATTGTGCACAATATTTAATAACCTCATAATATCAAAATCTATATACATATAATAAAATTGTAACTAAGTCAAATCTGTACATTAAATATTTACATATTATCGATGCAAAGGCCAAATCTATAGTTTTTAGAATTTTTGTATGTCTGTCTGTCTGTCTATCTATCTATCTATCTGTCTGTGACCGTATCACGAATCGATTTCATCTCTGAGCTTAACGTTAAAACGTAACTAGGAACAAACCCGAGAGGAGCGAGGGTGGTCGCTAGTTAAGTAATAAAACATTACGCCGTTCGTGCCGGCAAAATCCATGTACGCGGGTGCGTGTGACGTCACTATGACGGAACGAACGTAGCCGGCCCACCGCCCGGGCCTCTTACTTCACAATTCGACGGAGAACGCACGACGGGATTAGCTACTATATTTAGTAATTACTTATTTAGTGTTTTTTCAAGTGTGTTTGTGATATTTAAATATATTTAGAAAGTATCTACATCTATACGTATAATAAAATTCTAACTAAGTTGAATCTGTACGTCAAATATTTTTTGGAAAATCTTATTGAAATAGACATTATTATCGATGCAGAGGCCGAATCTATAGTTTTTAGAATTTTTATCTGTCTGTCTGTCTGCTACCGGATCACAGAAAAACTACTGGAGGGAATTTGATATTTAGTATGGTCATAGCTGGTTATCCGGGTCAACATATAGGATACTTTTTACAGCGGGAAAATATCACATTTCTGAAATAAAACCACGATGATACTATATATATTTCAGCAAGAAAACGTACTAAATAAGGCAAACACTATTAAAAATAGCTTATCTTGAAAAAAAAAAATAACAATAGCGCTATTTCATTTTTTTTTTGTCATCAGAACGCGGGCGGAGCCGCTGGCAATGCTAGTAATAAATAAGTTGATACTTACTATTACGTGTAATTCTTTTATTTTAAACCTGCTTAATTATGAAAAACCTAACTACTTTTGGATAAACCTACATACCTACCTATTCAACCGTTCCCATTTCTATGTATTATTCCAATGACACAGGGACATACTCGGGTAAAAAGCTCTAAAAACTATAGATTCGGGCCTCTCTATCGATAATAATGTCAATTTCAATAAGATTTTCCAAAAAATATTTCATGTACAGATTCGGCTTGGTTACAATTTTATTATATGTATAGATATCTACTCGTACTAAATAATAAGTATAGTTATGTAGTTACGTACATCAAAATGATCTTCACAGCAATGTCTTGTAGCCTGGGCAGAGGGTAGAGTTTTATCATCTTTTTTTACAAAGGAAAACCAATTTTTACGAAGTTTTGGGTCCTTCGGTACGTTAAAAAATAGTTTTCTGGCGTTTTAAAAGTAGTGTTTGGACATTTCGGCACTATACAATATTTGTACATAATTAAAAAGGTGAATAAGACACAAATCGGACACTTAATTTGTTTTAAAGTCATTAAAACACTGCGCACCTCATTTGCTGCCAGCAGCTTACTGGCGGCGTCCGTCATTATGACGTCACAGCTATCGTGGCGGCCACGCGGTGAACTTCGCTAGTAATTTCTTCATAACTTCGTCAATTTTTGTCGTAGAACATAAATTTTTGCACTGTATGTTAAGGATTTCTTAGCTCTATAAATCTGCATTCTCAACTAAAAACGGTACGGATCCTCATTGTTTAAATAGCATTTTTTTGTAAGCGCAAGAAATGAAAGGCTTTTTTATTTTATTTATTTAGTTTGTGTTTGGTGTTTGGCACGTGTTTATGATTCTCGGTGCTTTTGGCAAGCACTCAGCATGTGAACGCGGCTTAACAGATGTTTACTAAAAAAATTTAACTCTTGTGAGGAAACCCTTAAAATTTAATATGTACAGATTACAGCTATAGCTCGGGTAGGTTCGCCAGGAGTCAGTTACGTTCAGTTCAGTCAGTCGCTCCGGTGATCGGTCCAATATATTCGTTCACTCCATCTCACTCCTGCACATGTGGAACTATTTGGAACCGTGAACCTGTTTCAATTGACATCTCGGATTGGAACGATATCGTTCCGGTCTAAGACATAGTTCCGGGAACTATTTCAATCCGGACCTACGCATGTCTAATCAAGAGGAGAGGGATGGTTCTCAAAATCTACATACTCTTAACTTGAGAGTAGAAGGGAGGAAGGGGGGGGAGAGTAAATTAAAAAATAATACACCCGACTGTGTAAAACGCGAACATGTAGCAAGACTCACAGCTAGTGCATGTGCATATGTCTCCGACTGCATAATAAATTATGTTTATTAGTCAACTTGTTCTTATCTTTTAGTAGGTACGCTTTTTACGCAGTTATTTTTTTATTTTTTTTTACTGTTTTTCTATCTGAAGCTTTTTAGTTTTGGTTAGTTAGTCATTTTTTAGTTTTATTTAACAATTTCTTATCCTAAATCATTTTTAAACATACAAGGTACGTACATTTTTGTAATCATCGAAGCCCATTAAGTCGTTTAGTAAAAACGAGGGAACATAGGGTCTGATATACACACATATATCATATTTGCTATAAAAATGCCAAATATTGTATTGTGACTAAGCGTTCTAATACAACTAACAATTTACCCAAAAAAAAATTGTCGTATCCTTTATAAATCAAATCATACACATACGTATATAAAACACAATAATATTATCATTAGGTAAGTAGGTACTTACATTTGCATTTTTAACTAAAACAATAATATTACTAAGTTAAGGCACACATAGTACATACTTACTTTTGCATTTTTGCGGGCAGGAGCCGGGAGTTCAATTGATGTCATGTGTTGTATTATGTAACACCACAAGAGCGCAGTCGCGTGCATATTCAAATTTAATCGTAACTTTGAATGTAAAATAGAAACTACATACTTAGAATATCTGAATAACATCGAAACATGTGTTTCTAGACAGCTAAGCTCCAATATATAATTATACGATTTTGCGTACACATTGGTATTCCTTATTAATGAATGGCCCATAGGAGCCTTAATTATTTTTTGGATTAAAGCTCTGTGTTTAAAATTTCATCCAACTCCATCAAGCCACTTTAGCGTGAAGTAACAAAATAGTACAACAAGTAGTAGTAGCGAGTATCAAACAAACGCACACAACTTTTGTTCCTGTATCTGTTCCTGTGATTTTGCATTGTTATAGCATATATGATGTTTTTTTTTATTTCATTGTATCAATCAGTTCCTGGGCGACCGAGCTTTGCTCGAATTTTTTGGCCAAAAGTACTTTGAAGTTAGTTCTTTTTCATTTGGCTTAAAAACAAAAATGAACTAAAAACTTGAATAAATACAAAAAAAACAAAAGTAAAAACTTTGTATCCGACCAGGATGTAAACCCGGACACCTATGATTGTCAATCTTACGCCTTGGCCACTTGAACACGATGTTTATGTACAAGCGTTCGAAATTAGCGACCATATTTTGCATGGAATAATGCGAAAGAAAACGGCATGAAAACTCGAAAACACGCGTTTTCCCAGACATAGGAATAATATAGATCAATTTTTGGCCCCTGAAAACCCCCACATATCAAATTTCAGTAAAATTGTTTGAGCCGTTTCTGAGATCGCCGATATATATAAATATACAAGAATTGCTCGTTTAAATATATAAGAATTTGTGATGCTTAATTTTTATGTATATAAATTGCTTTTCGTCTAAAAATACTTCTGAAAATAAACAGTAAACATTTCTTTGCAAAAAAATGGAGGTTCCATGTTATTTAATACCACTTCACCTTTATTATAACTTTATTTTGTCTCTGATTAGTTTCTTGCTTTAACAGTTTAGAATTTAAATCATTTATTTCATCTGTAGGCTGTCCATACTCTGCAGCACTTTTATTTGTCAATTGTCATTTTTATATCGATTATCAACGTTATCTACAGTAAACTGTTGTTTAAAATTGTTTTGTGCTTGTTGAATTCTAAAACTAATTGTTTTATAAAGTAATACCTATTTATAAAAAAAAAATATGCCGTTATCAAAGCGAAGAAGGTTATTTACTCCTAAAAAGCATAAAACTAAACCTACTAACTGCAAAGACCAGGAAGAACCTAAAGGTATATTACATTTGAAGTATTAAATTTTTAAATGTTTATATTGTTAAACATATATTTTTATTTAAGTTAGTTCTTCGAAACAATAAGTAAAGTAATAGTGACATTTTATTTAATAGAAAATGAAGTAATAACAGCTCGTGGGCGTCTTAAAGGTGCTTTAATGGAGATGCTAGAGCCAACAGCTGATGAATCTGATGAATCTTTAGAATATGCCCCCGTAAAACAAGAAAGGTGATTTTTAAATATATATAATCTTTGTTCATCTAAAATCAAACAAATGCAAAAGCTACTCAGTACTTTAGTCATTTCATGTATTCAAGTATTTCACAACTACAGCCAAGAACAAAAAGAAGAATCGTCTGATGAGGATACAAAGAGTAAAACACCACAAAGACAATCATATGTATTAAAGCTGTTTGACAGAAGTGTAGACTTATCACAGTTCAGTGAGGACTCTCCATTATACCCCATATGCCGGGCATGGATTGCAAATCAACCTAAAGCAAACTATAAAGATTTTGGGTAAGCAGCAATTATTTTATCAGTGTATATTATTATGAGTTAAATGTATCTAAAATCATAAGAGTATCTAACTTACAGGCAATAAAAAATATTATTTAAGGTCTTCTGTTGTTTAAGAATTAGAAAAAGTTTAAAAGTTTATTTAAAAACAAATAAATAAATATTAAATTGTCAGTCAGTGAGTCTAATAGAATAGAATAAGTTAATGTAAAATAAAATATTTAATTTATCATAAATAATATATAATTTTTAGGAAAACAAAGCAAGAGGTGCCAGTCTTAGACAGTCTAGAGTTACCAGGGCCTGAAGGGCCACCTATATCAAGAATACCAAACCTACTTCCAGAGCAGAAAGCTTGCAATAAGGATAATATTAATTTAAACTATGTGAGTGTATTATTATATTTTTAGATATTCTTATAATATTGATGCCAGATATAAGACATATTGTTAAGTTAAACTACAAACTTGTATCTGGCATCTATATATTGATCAAGACAACTAAAATTTACTATATTAACAGCTCATCATGTAGTTATCCCACACATAGGCATCAGGAATAAAATTATTTAAATTACAGGCACATGTATGTATCTTAAAAAGAAAATAACCAAAAGTCATGACTTATATTTAAATGTTGTATAAAAATTTAAATTTATAACTTAAGCATTATGAGAATGTGTTGTTTTGCCTTTTATGCATGGTGATTTATGTTCTCGGGTTTTATGGATAAAAAAGCAGCTAAATATTATCAAAATACTGCCTGATTTGTTTAGTGGCTATGTAGTATGGCTACAGATTTAGAAGCCCTGAGTTCAAGTCCTGGGTCGGGTCAAGAAATAGCCATAACTGACTCAAGAGAACACTAAGCTGACAGTCCTGCATAATTGCTGCTGCTGTCCTAATTTCTCACTAGCTGTTCCCCATTGTCATCCTATGGATTTTGATAGTGAAAGGTATAGAGAGTACATATTGTGTTTGCACACACACACAGCATTATAATATCTGCTTCTGCTAGCGAATCTCACTGAAATTGGCTGCTGTGGCTAAAATCTCTCATTATAACATTATTACCGCATTGTCAGTACTGATTACCCAACAAAGGAGGCAAAGTGAAGTTACGTGTGAATGTAAAGGTTATTTTAAATTCTGTGATTATATAAACATTATTTCTTTTTAATTATCAATAATTCAATTTTAGCATGAAGCCCCCCTTCCTACGAAAGAACAGCTTCTTCATGAGCATATGTCTCGCTGGACCAACATCCGAGCTGCATGGTTAGAGAGAGGAGCCTTAGTAGAATCTCGGTACAGTGCGACGCAAGCAGTGCTTAATAAAATTAATGTCAAGTGAGTTTTCTGTATTTTTTTTAGTAATGTATTAATCATGTTATTTAAATGCTTCTGAATTTTTATATTATTTATTGATCTTCATAATCTTTTCATATAGAGTACAATGTACAGTAATACCCCGGACTTACGCGATAGGTCGGACCGAGCGATAATAGTGTAAGTCAAATTCGCGTAAGTTCAACTTTGCATATAAGTACATATAAAGTATGTTTAATTGGGACCACGGTCTAAAGAAAACAGTAATTTAGAAGAAACATGTTTAATAAAATGTTAGACAATAGAAGAATTTACATTGATAATGAACAGTATAAACTGAAGATATTTTGTTGTCGTTAAGTCAGGGTTTAGTTTAGTGTTGCAACAGAACTCTGCTTCCGCTTCCGCAACTGCAGAAGTTCCGCATGTTTTTTCACTTCCGTTTCTGCTTCTGGTTCCGCAAATTTTATAACAGAACTCTGAACGGAAGCGGGGAGAAAGCGAGCGGTGCAGCAGACGCGACGGCCGGCGGCACGGCGCGGGCGGTTGCGGGGGCCGCGCGTGGACGAATGACACGAGCGTCGAGCGTCCAGGCGCGCGTGCTGCCGATAATTACCGAATCCCTTCCGCGTATTTTGGGAGGGAGGGGCGCGCGGTAAACAAACGTGTCACAACGAGTTCGTTCGTTTATTTAATTATTGTTTTTAGTTCACTATGCGCATCTCCGCGCCCCGTGACTTTGAGTAGTGACATTTTCAGTTGTTTTTTCTTCTGTTATTGTTTGCTTGATACCTAGTTGTATTTAGTGCAATAAGAGTGCAATTATGAAACCAAAAACAAGTCCCATTTGGAACTATTTTGGTGAAATCGACGACTCGAGTGCCAAATGCAAACTTTGTGAAAAAGTGTATTCGCGAAAAGGCCGCACAACTACAGCTTTAAAGAGTCACCTAAAATCAATTCATGCCGAACGGTTTGCAGAGTTTGAGAAGTTAAATGATGCTGTCAAACTTTCATCGGAAACGAAAAAGAAATGGTCAGTTAATATTTATTTATTACTTACTTTACCAACTTTGAGTAAGTGAGGTCGTGCGTGGCCTAGTGGTCGAATATTAGTATGGATACGTGTTTTATTTCGTGAAGTAATCGTAACCAATTTATGTTGTTGTAATTGTAGGTTACGTTAACTCCAACCGAAAACGCTAAAAGACAATTAACATTACAACAAAGTCTACAAGTAAAGGATTATTGGGATTCATCGCATCACAAATCTCAAGAAATGGATCGTACGATTGCTGAAATGATTGCCCTCCAAAACTTACCCTTTCATTTTGTCGAAGGTACAGGATTTCGTAGAGTAATGCAAGCTGCTCTTCCAAAGTACAAGATAAGAGGCCGTGATTTTTTTTCTTCCTATGTGTGCGACAATTTGTACAATAAGTTAGCAAAGAAAACCAAAGATTTACTTGAAGAATTTGACAAGTTATCTTTTACAAGCGACATATGGTCGGAACTTCATTCTGCTGTTTCATTGCTTAGTTTAACTGCTCATGGGATCTCAAAAGATTTTCGCAAAAAGACTATAATTTTGAAATGTGAAGTCATGGATGAACGTCATACGGGCACCATAATATCAACAAAGTTTCAAACGATTCTTGAAGAATGGGGCATTGATCGCCAAAAAGTTCACTGCATGGTTCGTGATCGTGGATCCAACATGGTTAGAGCAATGCAGTTGTCAGGCTTTGAGGATATCAGTTGCGCAATACACCAAATTCAGCTGTGCATACGAGCAGGTGTTGAATCTCAAGAGTGGCTCCTACAACTTATTGCTAAATTGAAAAAAATTGCCACCCATTTCAATCATTCCTTGGTCGCACAGGCAGAGCTTACAAAAATTCAAAAGGAACGCCTTAATCAGTCTCCTCTTTCTGTCATTCAGGATTGTCCTACAAGGTAAATATAAATACCTATTAAATTACTAATAAGCAAATGTTTTTATGAGTTATAGGAGTTTTTTGATTGTACTTATAAATAAATATATTTTTAAGATTAGGTAATTGAATTTGGATTTATATTTTGAAAAGAACTAATATTTTGACATTTAATTTTGTATAAATTTTTGCAAGCCATCATTGGGTGAAATATCTAACATTTTATTTTCTGTGACCATCTATTTATTGATCATATTTCTAGCAAGTAAAATTGAATTGATTTGATTTAATTTCAGATGGAACAGCACATTCTACATGATGGCAAGGTTTTCAAAACTCAAAGATTCGCTTGTCTTGTACCTAAGCGCAAATCCAATCGCGATGATATCCCCCGAAGACTGGATGAATATTCAAAAATTTGTGCAATTGATGCAGCCATTTGAAGAAATAACAAGAATCTAAGTAGTTCTCAAATCAGTATTTCATCAGTCATACCATTAATTCAAGTTCTTAAGACCACATTACAACAAGAAGAGACGAAACCTAATACTTCAGAACAATTCATAAATTTTATAACAAAATTACGCGATGAATTGAATTCAAGTGTAAGATTTGGAAACCTGGTCGAAGACGACAAATACACTATTGCGACGTATTTGGATCCGCGATATAAATCGCATTTTTTCACCAGCGTCATTGCAGAGCAGGTTGAATCTAAATTACTTAATATGACGATTAACACTATTAGAACCAGACAATCCAATTCCATCCAAGATGATGACTGCGAACCTTCCCCCAAAAGAAGCCGAACTCAAATTGCAATTGAAGACATTGAAGTCCAGCCTTCTACTTCCAAATCATCAGCATCATTGCAAATATTGGAATCGATGTTAAGTGTAAATGAAGACCAGGAGGAGGACTCTTCTACAGCTGACGATGGTGACAATTTACTTTTAAAGATACAGTCACACCTTCGGGAGTACAAGAAAGAAAAAAGGCTACCTCTTCATGAGGATCCCCTTATGTGGTGGAATGGAAATGCGCACAAATATAATAATATTTTGCCAATAGTTCGCCAATACTTATCAGCTCCCCCCAGCAGTGTAGCCAGCGAGCAATTATTTAGCGGAGCTGGTTTAATATATGAAGAACATCGAAATAGGCTGAAAGGTGAAAAAGCGGCCAAGTTACTCTTTATTAAATATAACTTGCCGCTGTTTAATTTTGACTACTAACATAGAAATTTAATAAAAAAAGTTTTAAATGTACAATTGTGCTTTTTTTTCATAGTGTTAACGCTTCCGTTTCCGCTTCCGTTTCCGTTTCCGCTTCCGTTAAGATTTACTTTTGACATCTGTTTCCGTTTCTGCTTCCGTTATGCCAGTTCCGTTGCATCACTAGTTTAGTTTTAATGTTCGTTGATGTCCGGTCCGTTTTGATACTTGATTCTGGTAGGTCAAATTTCTATGGCAATTCACATTTTTTCATTTTTGCTAAAGTCTTTGATAAAATTCAGTTTACGTTCCAAAGAAAGTGTATTTCTTTTCTTTTAGTTCAAATGACTCATTTTTTGTTCTTTTGGATGACATAATTATAGGTTATCAATAAAACGCACTGCGTACGTAAAACAATTCCACGCGGAACACTTTCAGACTTGTCATAAATGGAACACTAACATTGCGTAGTGGGAGAGCTGATGAGCACAGCAATCAAAAAGAAAAACCGCGTATCTGCGAATTCGCGTAAAACGCGTAGCGTAGTAGCGTACGTCGGGGTATTACTGTATAGCAAGAATTTATTATGTACATAATTATTTTTAAAAAAGTTCTCTTTATGTATGTGTAATATGTCATTTTAATATAATAATTTTTTGTAGTTACTAATTAAGTATCATTATTTTTTTTTTCTTTTTCAGTGCTCTGTAAGTAGCAAAGGGTCTTAGAAATAATTGAAGTTTTTTTAAACAGTTTTACTAAAATTTATCTTAGAAATCAATAATTTTTGTTTGTTGACAATAATCATAAATGATAATCATAATATAGTTTTATTATATAAATTTACATTAATTTTTTTATAAATTTACGCTTTATATTATTTTCTTCACTCTTCTGTGGACAGTCAGATTTCTTGTGACCCTTTTCATTGCAATTATAGCAGGACTACAAAAAAGAAATCACATGATTGTATTTTTAGTTTATAGCAATTATATATTAAGAATAAATGATTTACTTTTTCATTTCTGAATTTTAATTTTCATATCCTAAAAATAATATTTTATAATATAAACATTAATTTTAATACAGTTTCAATTTATATTAATAATAATTGTAAACTTTTCTTACCTGTGACTCCACAACAGTACCACAAATATGTTTCTCCTGGCAACACCGACCACAAGTCTGACAATGCATATATGTTGGTTTTACACATTTTTTGCAATGATTGCAATGTTTATATGTCATGCCATTCTTGCTTGTGCATTGTTTACATTTGTTGCAGTGATTGTTACTTGAAGATACCCAATATTTACATTTATCACAATTTTTGTAACTACTATCATTAGATAAATCAATAGTAGAAAATGGTAGGTTTGTGAAAAAACGTACTGGAGAACCAAGCTTTCGTCCTCCTTTTGCATTTTGAAACTTCTTATGATTTTGATATTCAACCTTGAAAAACCATTATAATTAAATTATTAATTCATTGTATCACTACTCTTTATTATTATTAAAATAAAACAAATCTAGTAAAAAAAACAGCATCTTGAAATAGATTTTTAGAATGTACTAACCCGATAGTCATGCATTTTTATTCCTGGCTCCATATTAGTAATATATGGTTCAGAAAAGTAGGGAAATGCCCAAATAACAGGCAATAATTTATTCTCAGCATCGCATACTTTACTGTACATATCTGAGAGTTCCCTTATAGTGTGAATCAAAGGTTCCACACGTCCACCAAATGGAGGATCCATTACAATACATAATCCCTTATTTCTGGAAAAATATATTTAAATATATTTGGTGACAATTGTTGTGGTGCATTAGGGTATTACTTTAACTAGTACAGAAAACACATTGCAGGATTGATTTCCCAAAAAGATTTGTGATATTTTGTTGTTTAAAGTGATTGTATATCTACAAAATGTGTTATGGCCACAGTATATTTATAATTAAAATAATTTAAAAATAATACTCAGATACAGGACAAGATGTTCTAAAAATAGAAAACTATGATAATAAATAAAAATTATAATATTTGTGTCAACATTTAAATTACCTAGAAGCCTTTAAAAATTTCTTTAGTACTTTTTCATCTTCATTTCCATTAAACAGATAATTATTAAACATATTATACCATAAGAACTTGTTAGGATTATAGAATAAATGGTGTCGAGTATCATAGTCCAGTAGCAGGGAATCAAATTCAGAATGTTCTTGCACTGCTTCATGAACTGAGGGTGTTCCAATGCAAAGTAGGTTGCTGTAAAAATGATAAAAATAAAATAAGCATCAATTGTAACTTATAAACTAAAAAATATGGAATTTAATTACCTAATTTTATTATTTTTTAATATTCCTAATATAGTGCTAATAGCCTTCTTAGTAAATATGTACTGGGCTTCTCTTTGATCATCTTCAAGTGGTGGCAAGAATGACGTAGGGTGTGCCAGCTGTTCTTCAGTTAATGGCATAACAACTTTATGGTCCCTTAAGTGTTTTTTACTTTGAGAGATTATATATAGCTCTTGACATGTGTTACAATAAGCTCTGTCTGATGGATGTCTTGATTTAACCTGCAAGATTTTATTTAAAAATAATATATAATCAATGATTTTCTATATAATTTTACAATATTTGTAAATTAAAATTATTAAACCTCTTTCAAATTATTCAACGCCGCGCTTTTGTCAAGCTTGGGAATAAGGTTATAGTATTTCTCATTGCGCTTTTTAACATTTTCTTTCTTCCAATCTTCTTCGTCAATATGTACTGTACAATCCTTTTTGTTTCTACAAGAAGCACACGCGAAAAAACGGCCTTTATCACTGGCAAACAGCAACGTTGGACCATGCAAGCACAGTGGATGATTTGTTGCATCCTCTACAATTACTTCCACAGGAGCATGATTTTTAGAAGGAACTTCTGGTGCTACAAATTTCCGTTTATTACCCATTATATTAATTTATTGAGTTTATTTCTAAACTTAGATTATAAAGATTGAATTTCGTAGCTAAATGAAATTAACAGGTACATATCTAAACACCGAAACACGTGAAAGTGACAGATGATGATGACAGATCCAATAATCCACTATCGACTAGGAGTGCACGATATATATCGATATTTTATTAAATATCGATATATATCGATATTTCATAAAATATCGATATATTTACTAGATATATCGCTTCAACCCGATATTATTGAACCATCTAGTATCGATATTACATATCGATCCTTTTCTTTTTTTTTATATATTGATTCTTTTATTTATGGATGGAAATTGGGAAAAAATAAAACGTAAAACCTCGAAATATTGAAAACCTAGCCTTCGCAATAACGGAATGCAATGACACGAAAATCGAAAACTATTCTCCTACCCCCCACGAAGACAAGTAGTAGTTAAAATGTTGTAATCTGTGACTGTAGTCGTAACTCGTAGTTTGTCTGTGCCTCGAGAGTCTCTCTCTTCCGAAATCAGAGTTCTGACTTCCGCTTCTTTCATTGTTCTCACTTCTCAGTACAAATTACAAAATAACATATAAAGAATAAATAAAAGTTATCTTTTTTGCTTAATACAGTTTACGAAATTTAAATACAGTTAGTGTGTATAACGATATATAAAAGCGGCTATTTTATCTCGGCAGAGAAACAAACTGCAAGCTAAAAGAATTAAAAAAAAATCGTTTTTGCAAGGTCTAGAGAAAAAGTATTGGAATTAATAAATAAATAAAATGTTTTGTTCTTCACTAACTGGTTTTATTCATATTAACCTGATCCCTATCTAATATTTAATATTACAGACTAGTTAAATACAAACAAATGACTTACGACTTACGATAAATCGAAAATATCAATATATCTATACGATTTATCGCAAAGTATCGATACAACAATACAATATATTATATCGAAAAACATCAATATTTTTTACATGAACATCCCTACTGTCGACTCGTCTGTCACTGTCATTTTTTAATTTTATGATTAGAGTAGAGGTAAGGAGAACTATTTCTGTGTATAAAAAGTGACCGTTGACAAGCATCAAATTAGTGGCGTCACAGAAAATAAGTATCTAATTTAAAACATAGCGCCAAAAGCCATAAAGTAAGATGGTGAATTAAATGAGGAAAGAAAGATTTCCGCTTTGTCGTTATTTTTTAAAGTTTACAACAGTAGGAACTATAAAACCACAAAATAATATTATCAAAAGCATAAAAAGATTTAAATCTCTTTTTACGATATTTCAATAATTGTCATAGTAATTTACAAGTTATATTTACGAAATTATTTTGGATTACGTAAATTGTTGACATTTTTAATTCTGCAGTTTTATTAACTACACTGATCAGCAGATATAGATATAGAATTCAGCACACTTCGTCTCGCTTAAAACTGCTAAATTCATATCACTTCTACTTGCTACGCTAGCGCTATATCGGTGAGTTTCTGAATTACAATTTGCTGCTCACTACTGGACACTTTTTCAACTTGTTTCCAATTTAAGACGTTTGCCTTACCTCTACGCTCCATATTATCTAACAAAATTGTATTTAATGGGGAATGCCATTTAGACGCTTTAAAGCTTTACAATCCCTGTTTTCCAATTACAAAGCATAATGCCGTACTTTGGCGCACAATGCCAAAGTGTGCTAATATGCTTAATTGGAATGTAAATTAGTTTCCATGTGCAGTAGAGGGCACTAGATTCAGTGTTGAAAAGTATATATAACTAATAAGTATATAATATATAATAATACACATATATATATAACTAATAAGTATATAATATATAATAGTACGACTACGGCCTTAGTCAAAATCACAGATGACATCAGAGAAGGTATGGATGACCGAAGACTTACTGTGTTAGCACTACTAGATTTTAGTAATGCTTTTAATTCAGTGGACTTTGATATCCTGTCTGCCATAATATCATCTCTTAACATATCTCCTGAGGTTGTTGACTGGTTTCATTCTTACTTGTGCGGTCGCCGGCAACGCATTCGGATTGAAGATTCTTACTCCGATTGGTGCGCAGTTAATGCCGGTGTTCCACAAGGTGGCGTGTTGTCTCCTCTCCTATTTTCAGTTTTTATTAATTCTATTTGTCTCAAAATTTCTTCTCGCTACCACCTATATGCTGACGATTTGCAAATTTATACTGTGACATCTGTGGCTGATTTACCACGAGCTGTAGAAAATATAAACAAAGACCTCTCATCTATAGCCACATGGAGTAAATCGTACGGACTTAATTTAAACGCTGCAAAATCGCAGGCAATTATTGTTGGCAGTCAAAGGTTGTTGTCAAAAACTAAGTCAATGCAAATACCAGCAATTTTGCTAGATGGTGTTCAGATTCCTTTTCATGATAAAGTTAAAAATCTTGGTTTAGTAATTGATCAGCATTTGTCATGGGGCCCGCAGGTGAGTGAACTAAGCCGGAAGATATTTGGAGCTGTTGCTTCTCTTCGCAGATTGCGAAACTTTCTTCCGATTCCTACCAAAATTGCGCTAGCAAATTCACTCCTTTTACCAATTCTTGATTATGCTGACATTTGTTATCTCGACATAAAAGAGGAGCACTTGAATAAACTTGAGCGACTCCAAAATCTTTGTATACGGTTTATTTTTGGCCTTAGAAAATATGACCATGTTCTCAATTTCGTAAAAATCTCAAGTGGCTTCCAATCCGATTCCGCAGGAATACTCATATTCTTCATCTTCTCTACTGCGTGCTATTTAATCCTTCAACTCCTATCTATCTGAAAGAGCGTTTTGAGTTTCTGAACGATTCCCATGATCGTTCACTTCGCTCTGTCCAGAACTTCCTCCTTAAAATTCCTACTCACTCTTCCTGTTTCTTCACAAATTCTTTTACGGTAAAAGCCGCTCGATTATGGAATTCTATTCCTTTAAGCATTAGGTGTGCTAAAAGCCTAGATAAATTTAAAAGTTTATTAAAAGATTACTATTTATCTCTTTAAGCCTTTCTCCTTTAGTATTTCCCCTTTCTCTCTTGAGTCCTTTTCCCTAATATCATTATTATTATTATTTCATCTGTTATGTTTAATGTAGATATTATTCTATATATTATTTGGTTGTTTTGTTGAATGAACATGTATGTAAGTATGTATATATGTATGTATGTATGTATGTATGGATTGGTATATATATATCTATTTATCTATAAGTATTTATATACATAAACGTGTCAATGCAAGTACACCGCCTACCGTCTTATGAACATTTACTCCTCTTCCTCAAGGTTGCCTGGAAGAGATCGCTTCCAGCGATAAGGTCGCCTGCTGTACATCTTTTCTTTGTGTTTTTTTTTGTATTTTAATTTTCGGTGTGCAATAAAGAGTATTATTATTATTAATACATATCAACCATATTAATAATAATATAATAAGTATATAATAATATGTAACTAATTAATATATAATTATATAAATAAAACATAAACAAATATTACTAACGATAATGTAAATAAAATTTTGATCAATGCCACCTTGAAGAAAAAACACTTCTCATATTTTCTGCAATTGAGTTGGTTTCCTTGCGCGCATCACGCCAAAGCCATACATACTTTTCAAAATGCTCGATTTTGCGGAGCGTGGCTGATATTGAAAGTTAGCATTATACCGCATAATGCGCTTAAGTGCTGTAATTGGAAAAAAGGGGTTACATATACTGAGGGCCGTACTGATCACGACATCTAGTGGGGAATTAGGTAAAATTTGTTGAATCTGTCATTAAATATCAGAATATCTGTTTTTTTTATTTAAATAAATTACACACTTTTTTATTTAAATAAAAAATATATATATATAACTAATTATATATTATAGTATATTTTATTTATTATAGTACAATTTATGAGTATTACGAACTATTAATGACTACTACAAAATATTAAAAAAATTGATCATTTATAATTTTTAAACACTGGCAATAATAATTAATAAAACCGGTGTGAGACGTGCCGTTTGCGGATTGAGTTTTTTTTCTTGACAATCTTTAAACTTCCTTGAATTAACGCTAAATAATTATAAAGTAACAAAATGAACGGCTTAGTCAGAACAGCACATAAAGTTCTTCAGACTTGCGTAAAAAACGCGGGTCTTACAAATTCAATAGTGTCCCGTACCCAGGTTCCGGTGAAACGTGATTTCACGAGAGGAATATGGCATATGAGTTGTTCCAAGAAGATGGACACCTCAGCTTCTTCCAGCCTCTTACAGAACCACTCAAATACCTGCAGCTGCGGTTGTGGACTCAAAGCACTTCATACAAAAGGTAGGTTCTTGTTATCTCTTGCGTTATTTTGAGGTTAGGATTATGCCATCCACATTTGGAAGTGAACTTATAACTCAATTTTTTTTAAATGTTTTACACTAAGTATTGCTTAGAATTTAATATAACAAACACATTTAGAATATATTTATTGCATATAAATAATTAAATATATTAAGGCTAGGGGCTTATGGACTTATCTTGTATTATTAATTAATTCACTTCAATATAATCAATTCTTTACTAGATTATTAAAAAATCTATAAACTATGCCAAAATCGAATTGGTCAAATTATTTCTGCTATTTATTGGCTTGGTTGTTGACCCAATATGGTTTTATTACATCAGATATGTAAAGACAAGTATGTATTTATTTAGTAGTACATGAGACAGACTACATATTTTATAATTTATACTCATCTTTAATATCTGCGATTAAATTAACAGATCATCAAGATGAAAAAGCTACAACTTCCAAACCCCTTGGTGAGTTCCTTATCCCGTTTCCTTCACCAGATTCCCTATTATTCATGTAACACCTGTCGATTAAAACCTGTCTTAATTATGTAAATCATCAAATTAAATTCTTGTTATTTAAATTATTAAAAATTATGCAGTATTGATTCATAAATGTAATGCTATTAGAAGTTATAAATAAGATGGTTTTTTAATTATTTGTGTAAGATTGTAAAAGTAGATTGGTTAGATTTAATTTATCTATTTTTTTTTTGATGTGAAACATCTTTAAAATCACATGGAAACCAATGGAATACCAAGTCTGAAAAGTGGACCATACAGAAATAAGTTGCATCAGGTCTCTATAGTAACCGTTGTTAATGTTTGAAAAATGATATATATGTATGATATTCTCTTCTTTGCTTTCTACAAAGATTACTATTTTTACTAAATTGTTGTCCAAAATTAATCAAAAGAACTTTACTGCCATTTCAGTGTCAGTATAGTATTAAAACAATTAGAACTAAGTCAATTTTGTTTTCATTCCAATCTCTTAACACTAAAAGTAACTCGCTGAAATAGATGTTTCACATTAAAACCTAGGCAGTGTGCCCCAACAGAGCAACACCTGATTTGTTTTTGTTTAATTAAGTTTTCTATAGCATTATCACATTTCTTTATTTAATTATGTGGCTTGTTTTTCTTACAGGTGAAAGAGAACTTGTAGAATTCTTGACTGAAGAAATAGTAGCTGAACGTAAAGCTCAAAAAATGAAGAACCTGCCCTCCGAACTAGAAGGGTTTGCAGTCAAGAGTGATGGTGCTGAAGTAGTACTCAGCAAACAATTAAAAGACGAACTGTAAGATATTAACACTTTATGTTTATGTACTTTCATAAGCCATAAATCGTTCAATATATATATTTTTACATGTATAAAGATGTCTAAGTTTCTATAATTTCATAATTAGCAACTCACAGATAAAGATTTGAAATATTAAAAATGTTCTAAAGTCTATAATATTTTAGTACTTATCAATATCATTAAAAAATACAGAAAAAAATTGATTTGTGTTAATATATTTTTTAATACTTCAAATAGTAGTTTTTACAAGAATGTAAAAAGTTAGCTCCTTTTCTTTCACTTTCAACATGTATTTTATTTATGGTATAATTTTTAATTTATTGATCTTCCCTGCAAAACACAGACTATGTTACTCCAAACAGTAACTGAGTACCATTTGCAGGGTACAGCAAAACAATACTTACATCCAGAGCCATCTAACCTCATGTTAGGTTTCTGTATAAGGGTATTGGACATAGCAGTATAAAGACTAATAAGTGTTACCTTTTTTTATGATTATTTATATTTAATAAATAAATATTTTGTTAAAAATGTTTATAAAATTGTTTTCAGAGTAAGTATAACATTCAATGTGAACCACACAGTGGACTCGGAAGATTTTGCAGAAGATGCCCAACCTGAAAAGCAAGAGTTCTCAGAGATGCGCTCAAAGCCCCAATTTGAAGTGGACCTGGTAAGGGGAGACACCACCCTGGGTTTCACATGCTCCTTCCTCCAAGATTCTGCTTCTGCTGGTAGTGATGAATATAGTGAGTTTTATAAAAATATTTACAAGTGTGATTTTATGGTGTTTTTATAGAGTAGATAGCCCAGTGGTAACGCGCTTACATGGGAAACCAAGTGATGTGGGTTCAAATCCCAGGTCTCGCACCTCTGTTATTCTTATGTGTGAATCATAACCAACATGATTACCACTTTTCTAATGGTGAAGGGAAACATTGTGTGGAAACCTGCATGTCTGAGAGAACCTAGCAAGTTTTCGAAAGACATATGAACTCTACCATCCCTCACTTGGCCAGCGTGGTGGACTTTGGGCTGATCCCCCTTGTACTGCCGTGCCCAGCAGTGTAGTGGGACGTTAAAAAGGCTGAATTTGAGATTCAAAATAATGTCTAACCAAAACCGATTTAGTCAATTTTAAAAAATGTTTCATCTTTTACAATGTCAATAATAATCATATCAAAGATATATTTATTTATATCAATCTTCCGATTATATCTCCTAGTGGATAATGTGATCTAAATATAGCCAGGCTGGTTTTAATGTTATGTTTGTATACACATTGGCACAGAAAAAGATAGAGCTTCATTTTGATTAAGGACTTTGCAATGTGTTTGGTAACTTTAAACTTGTATTAACTATAGTTAACTATAAACTTTTTTATTTATAAAGAGATAGATAGAACATTGATTATAGCATTTTATATAATAGGCTTGAACAATTAAATTTCAATCAAACATTACTTTCTTTTAATAGATGACATCTTTGGTATTGATGAGGTAACATTACATAAGGGCGAGTGGAACGACAAGGTGTACGCCGTCGCCGGAGACGTACTTGACGGGGTTTGTTCATTTTTATTATATAATTATAAAGAAGAAGGTCAATAAATAATATGTTTTGGATAATATTGTTATGTAGACTTCTTAAAGGAAGCTATTGTAAGAGAAGGCTATTTATTGATTTATTTATAATATTCCTCTGAATACAGAAAAATATTACATTAGGTTACTGTTTTTTTTAATGAGATATGTATTTTCTTTTATTTCATAAAAACATATATATATATATAATATTAAGACTAATTTTTAGAGCATTATTTATATTAACAGAAATCAATTGTAAAATATCTTTGTTCTTCATTGTAACTATAGCACATTTTCACATAATAAATTTATAGCGCCATGGTGTTATGGCTTTAAATTCCAAATAACACCGATGGTTCCAAGTTCGAATCCCGTCGTGAGCGAAACATTTTAATTATTATTTAAACCCCATTATCCGCCATACTTGAGCTACAAATTTCTAGTAGTGATCAGGTGCCAAGAATGGGGAATAGTGAAGTACTGAAATGAAGTTTGTATGCCACTCTGTGTGATGTATATTCGTTAAAGTACAACATTTTTTTATTTATATAAATAAAATCTTTACTCATTCAAAGGAATTTTAGTTTTTATAGTTGCATTTACGTATTTATAATTTATTTTATAAATTAAAATTGATTTTGGTTTATTAATAATAAATATTATTTTATAGTTTTATTTTTGTAAATTATAAATAGTAGTCTTTCACATACTCTATTTGTAATTTTTTTATACTTAAATATTTTTCGTATTTCTATATATAAAAATAACCTTTTTTTCAGTACCTGTATGATCTGTTGATGAATCTGCTAGAAGAAAAGGGTATTAGCAATGAATTTGTCCAGAAGCTCTCAGACTTCAGTACTGCGTACGAACACACTGCCTACATCAACCTGCTTGAGAGTATCTCAAAATTCACCATTGGAAAACAATAGATTGTAATTAAATAATTATGTTTATTTCTGTGAAACCTTTACATAAGCCTCATAATATATGAATTTGCAGCCAACAAATGTAATAATTTGCACTATCTATATATATAAAGCAAAGTCAGGTTAGTCACATCATTTAGTGTTCAAAAATGGCTGGGCCAATTTTTATTTTTGATTCGGTGGATTTATCTCGGCCCCGAAAAGCAGAAAAGCGAAAAAAATCACGAAAAAAATTTACATGGCTAACGCTGGCTAATAACTATTTACATTTATTTATAACGTACATACTAAACAAACCCAAGCGAAGCGAGGTTAAGTCGCTTGTATAATATAAATTACAATCTGTTTTTATTTGTTCATATTTTTTTTGTATGTCAATGTATCGACTTATATGAATGTAACTTCTCATAGACATTTTTATTTTATTTTATTTAAATATCTCTGCTGTTGGGTTTTGCAGGTACTTGATTTCTGTTGGCAAGAAATGGTGAGGCATTTATTTTGCTGTAGGATAGCTTTAAAGAATGTTTAGTTTTAAACAACAGTGTTGTTTCAATTTTTAGTGTTAATGTGTTTAGTTCTGAATAAACAATATTCAAGTTTATCTGGCTTTTATTGATGACCCCTTAAATTGTAGATTAGAATTCACCATGCAATAACAAAAACTTTGATTTTTTTTAATTTAGTAGTATTGACATAATTGTTATGTAATTTCAATGATGCTTTTGTCCCGATAACTCTCACGTCAGCACCATTGAGAACGGCTATAATGGCATTATTTTATTGTTTTTACTTCCGCGTATGTAATGTAATTACTATGGCAGCCATGGCTTTGTAACTACAAACATCTCGTGTAATAAATAAAGCAGAAAAGTAATTTGAAATAATATGATACTTTGAATTTAGTATTATAAATACTGACAGTATTTATTATACAAATATCTAAATTAAATTTTCTTCTTCCTGCGTGGACATCTTCACAGATAAAAAAAAATTGAAGTGTTTGTAATAAAATAAAGCTTTTAACTAAATGCGTATGAAATTATATACGGTACTTATAAGAAAAACACAATTTTTTACATTTTTTCTGTCTGTTCTGGCTAATCTCCAAAACGGCTAGACCCATTTAGACGGGACTTCACTGGCAGATAGCTGATGTTATAAGAAATAACTTAGGCTACTTTTGTTTTAGAAAAAGAATTAGGGTTCCGCTAAAAAAAGTATAAATCGCTTATAGTTTATTACTATGATAACAGCTGATGAAATACTACGTAACTGATATAAAATGTATCTCTTTCCCCCTTGTTTTGTTGTTTATCACATGACCCCCAAAACAGCGATACAAAGATAATTTTGTAATAATTTTGGCCAAATAGCAATACAAATTTAATCAACCAATAATATTACAGGAGCTTTTTAAATCAACCAATAAGAATGAAGTTCATTAACTTCCACCAATGAGGTGTTTGATATTAACATGAACATCGCGCGAATCGATTCTAGCTGTCATTGATATTTGCAGAGCAAATGAATAACGGAAACGGAGCGACTAGCGAGTTTTGTTCTATCTCTCCAAAATGGCTGACGCGTCGTCGACAGTGCGCATGAAAAAAATACCCGATAATCTGTACGAGGTGTGTTTGACGAATTTAGTGAACTATTTGCAGAAATCTAAGTGCGAAAGAAATGATTTGCGGTCTTTACCAGATAGCATCCTCATGGATGTTTATTACAAGGTGAGTGCAAAATTATTGTTCTTATCTACAAAAACAGTCTGACAAAAATGCACCGTTACTAGAGTATCTTTATCCACTTGATGGTCAGACTGTTGGTAATTTACAATATTTGTCTCGTGTCGGGTCACGGTCATGTGATGGCTATGGGTGCGTCGGTAAATCACTTTCACTGACTTGCGAGCTCATTCGTCATACGATCCTCTGTTCTTTGTTGCGAAACCTATCGCGTTAAAATTATACAATGTGTTTACTACCCTTTCTCTTTTGATTGATATTTCTAGATGAGTCTTATAAAATCGAGTTAACTATTTTGTTTTAATTACGTGTCCCTTGATAAAGAAAGAAAGGGCTTGAGCATTTCATTTTAGAATCATCCTACGTGCACCTTATTTTGTTAATTCTCTTCTTGAAATAACGTAGATATCTAAGTATCTGTAATTGATAGTTAATTTTCGTTTAAATCAATAAAGTTTAAGTAAAATAAGGTTATTGCATATCAAAACTTAACCTCATAACATCCACATTACTGCAATGTTGATTTAATGTAGGTAGGAGGATAAAGTAGGTGAGTGATTGAGTGTTATTTTCAAGAAAAAAATAACCTACTTTTAAAAATATTTACATCTAAGTACAATACTTATATGATATAGCTATGAATATTTGGCGACTTTTCATTAATTCTAATTACCTTCTACTCAAAAACATTTTTAAATACCATAACTTTCGCAATCAAGGTAGACCTCTAAGAGGCTTAGGAAGTATGTTTATCTTACACAATAGTTACTTAAATTAACTATGTTATACATGTTTCCCATGACTAGTTTTCTCCATAGTTTAATTTTTGTATAAAAAGCTTCATTTCCAATAAAAAAACATAAATAATCCTAATATCCTACTAATATTATAAACGCGAAAGTTTGTAAGAATGTATGTATGGATGTATGTTTGTTACTCTTTCACGCCAGAACGGCTAAACGGATCTTGATGAAATTTGGCACAGAGAAAGATTATAATCTGGAATAACACAGCTATTTTTTATCCTGGAAAAATATACGGTTCCCGAGGGATATTTTTGTTTTTCTAACGGCGAACCCGAGCAAAGCAAGGGTGTGCCGATAGTCTTTCATATGTATTCTAATTGGTGTCAACCGCCTCTGCGATTAAAATACGAAATATCAGGAATAAATATTGCTACGTGTCTTATTACTTAGGCTTATGCTAAATGCTAATACATACATATTTTTAAAACTTTTACCTATATTAAGTATAATTTTGTATATTTTTTACTATTTCACTTTTATTTATAGAAAATAATTTGTTATTCGTTATATAAATCTTAGTATTTTAATATGATGCTTGAAATTTCTTTTGAATCCTAAAAAAACTAATGATGATGTGCTCACGACCGAATTCGGTCACGGCGGCCATTCTGACCGAGACTAGCCAAATGCGCAGGAGGTACTTAATATAGTGCACAAGTGTGAGTGCAGACACCAGTGCACTCCATTCTCTCTCAAATTGCGATGGGGCGATAATTCAACAAGACCGATGGGAGATCATACGCAGGACTGCCGGCTTTAACTTTCCAACTCCGGGCTATTATTGAAGATATAAGAAAGTCCCAATACTTTCTTCACAGAAACACTCGATAACTAATTTTGGCCCAACCCGAAACTCAAACCCAGGACCTCAGGATTTGCAGCCGTACACGCTAGTCACTAGTCACTACACCACCGTGCACCGAGGCAGATAAAACTATTGATATTAAATATAAGTAATAATACATTGTTAATATATAATATTGTTATTTTCTTCCGATCGATTTTGATCATGATTGCCTACTTTAATCAGATTATTCACCTAATTTTAAGGGAAATTTACAGAGCACAAATATTAATAACAATAATTCCCAAGGAGGCAAGCAAGTTGAAATCAGGCAGGCGGCCGGTCGTAAAACTTTTGCCAAATCCTATCAGAAGATGTACTGCGCCGACCCCAAGTGATTGGGAAATGATCAGCGAAATGATGAAGTATGTGCGCAAATATAGCCATTAGCCATATACCATACCCATATTATCTCACCTCATAGTCTGATGGGGCGATGATATGAAGAGGCTGGAGAGCAAACGCGCTTCGGATTTTATGCTCTCCAAGCATAAGCATATCTAATCATCATTTTACTAATTTCGGGGTGTTATTACACAATAACAACACTCGAACTCCACTCAAAACACTTCAGAACCTTTTTCTCCTGTTTGTCAATCGATTTTCTTCTTTTTTTTTGCTTTGTAGCTATTAACGAGATTTAATGTAAATTCATTAAGGATGCCTCTTTTCATTTTTTCTCTTTTTTTCTTTCATTTGTGTCCTCTACCCCTCTAATACGTCTTTTTGTTGTGGGTAATTCCTATGCCATACATAAAAAGGTAAAAGTTTGCCATACATAAAACATCATTTATTATGTTAGAAATATTATAATGTTAGACATTGTAATGTTAATAAAATCAAAATAGGTCAATCGTTCCTCATAAATCAACTTTCCTATCGTATTCCATTAGGTAAGTTACGATTGTGTATAATAAGACTTTCTTAGATTTACGCCAATTTTTTGATATTTAAAAAAACTATCATTTCGGATAATGTCGCGAATTTTGATTTTTGGTTCCCGACGTTTCGAATGCTTTACAGCAATCATGGTCACGGGAGAGACTGAGGTTATAGACGTCTCAAACACATAATAATATTTGTTACAGACCGTGCCTACGTACTATTTTACAAAAAATGATTTCAAAAATTCAAAAATAGCACCAAAGTACCTTACAATATTTGTTGATTTTAATTCTAAACATTTAAAAAAATATATTATAATAGTTAATAATAAATTGTGTACAAAATAGAATTTTGTATTTTTTTTTTCTCCCATCAATGTGATCTCAACGCATATTAAAAAATACTTCATTCTACTAGTAGTAATTAAGACATAAAATGTAGGTTTTACGACATAACTCATTTTACTATTTTTTACTATCATAATTGTTCCATTTTTACGGTTCTTAGGTCACGAATAAATAGTTAAAATGATCTTAAAACTTCCATTTAAATTTTACTGTTAAATGATTTTCAGGCTTTTCTTAAACAGTCAAGTGGAAATATTTCATATAACTAGTTTTCTCACGTATGTCCTATATAGTTCACTACCGTTTGACGTGGGCCTCGCTTTACGTAGCAGGTCGTAGCATTTCTACATGGCTCAAGCTGTATTTTTAGGTTAATTATAATAGAATTCCATATTGTAAAGTTCTCGAGCGGTACGCAAATATGCCAGCTGTTAGACAAAACTGTTGAAATCGTTGATTTGTTTATTTATTATATTGTTTATTTGTTACTACCAAACGTTCACCATACATATTTGTCAAAAATATCGTATAATAGTAGGGGAGCCCAAGAGGGGATTTTCTGTAGTAACTCGAGCGCGGCAGATTAACATAAAAGAGGTTACCTTGCACTCTATTGAGTACTTTCACCACATTATAAGTCTTCTATATAAAGGGGCGCGTCTAGGGAAGCCGATTAAAATATTTAAAAAATGTTTTGATAAGGTAGAAATACTTGAAACCGTCAGATTAAGGTGTGGTAGGCTAGTCACATCCTGAAAAGTGTCCAATTTAATAATCTGCCGATTTGCACAAGCCTAAGAGGCAAAAATCATCATAAAGTTTATAGTCGATTTTTGCCTCTTCGGCTTGTGCAAATCGGCAGATTATTAAATTGGACACTTTTCAGGATGTGACTAGCCTACCACACCTTAATCTGACGGTTTCAAGTATTTCTACCTTATCAAATTTTTTTTTAAATATTTTAATCGGCTTCTCTAGACGCGCCCCTTTATATAGAAGACTTATATTATGGTGAAAGTACTCAATAGAGTGCAAGGTAACCTCTTTTATGTTAATCTGCCGCGCTCGAGTAACTACAGAAAATCCCCTCTTGGGCTCCCCTACTATAACTCTTGGCACAGTTTTATTTTAACAAAAACCGCGCAGAAAAACGTTTAGAGACGATATTTTGAGGTACTAAGAGTAAGACATAATATTTTAACTTACGCACTATAAAAAAACCCAAGTGCATGACAGGCCACGCGCAATGTAGGGTTCCGTAGTTGCCCATCACAATAATGCGGACTAAGAAGAGGGCTTTTTGTTATGCTTATTATGAACATTTAACGTTAACGGTTTCGGCGGCTCATAACATCTCAAAACGATATGGATGTTATGATTTTATTTTTGTAAATTTTTACATTGTTCATAAACTTATATTTACTACCTGTTTTACGAAATTAACTACACCGTTATATAATATGTAAGTAATTTTGAATGGATTTTGTACGAAATTTTTACTTTTCCAAGTACATTTTATAAGTTGGTCGGTTATTACTGGTAAACTTGTAAAGCCTCCTTAGCTGTGATAGTTTTTCTTTTAACTTCGTTATTTATACTACTAGGTACCAAACTAAAACTGCCTCGGTGGTGTAGTGGCTAGCATGTACGGCTGCACACCCGGAGGTCCTGGGTTTGAGTCCCGGGTCGGGCCAAGTTTAGTTATTGAGTCTTCCTGTATAGTAAGTCTCAGTAACAGCCCGGAGTTGGGAAGTTGGCGGTGTTTCACCCCCGTGCCTCGGAGAGCACGTAAAGCCGTCGGTCCTGCGCCTTAACTCTCACCGGTCGTGTCGAGTGGTCGTCCCACCGGAGTATGAGAGTGATAGGAATAGAGAGTGCACTTGTGTCTGCGCGTACACTTGAGCACTAAAATATCTCCTGCGCAGTTGGCTAATCTCATTGAGATTGGCCGCCATGGCCGGAATCGGCTAGGAGAACATCACTAGGTACCATGATTTTTTTCACATATCCAAAAACAACCATTTAGCTGGCAGGGGGGATATTTAAGTCTAAGAAAAATTAGCACTTTAATGCTTAATATTTCACAAAGGGATCCCTTAATCG